GTAAAAAATACGGACAACCAACGATCAACGAGAACTACGGCACAAGACAATCTCCGACTGTCGTGGCGTCGTGCAAATAACTAAATTAGCCAATTGCGACTTTTCCAATATTTTTTTGTCTTATTCGTATTTATCATTGTTTTTAACAATGTTTATTTTGTTTCATCTCTTATCGGTGACAACAATAACAATAAAATCAGCTGCCGGCTGCCGCTGAGCGAATGACCACTACGGCCATAGCATAGAACAGCTGTACCACGCTGTACCTAACCTGGCCGCGTATATATATATATATGTATATATTATCTTAAACCGTGCTACGGCCTATCTAAAGCCATATAACAGTAATACGCATTCGTGTGACGTTATCACTTATCATCAATAAATGTTATCATTAATTAATAATTTTTATTATTTAATTTTTATATTTAGTATCCAATTTTATATTTCCGTATTAAAACTTATACATAATAGTAACATGTATAACTACAGTTAACAATATTAACTGTTGAGAAATATTAAGAAAATGGAGTTTGTTTTTGCGTTAGTCAACAAAGTTATTAAAAATGCCGGAATGAGAAGCTATAAGAAAAAGGAACCGAAGAGACTGTCCAATAACAGCGATGAGTGGAGGGAGTTTGGAAAAATGCTARATAGGTAAGTTTATAGTTTATAAATCATAAATAAGTTTACTGTTTATTATTTCAAGTTATCTATAAACATTGATACACAGTTAAGTAGCCAAGTAGGTACTCATACTAGGTTAGTTACTAAACTTTTTTAATTTTTGTTTAGAAGGCTTCTATATTATCTTCTATGGTAGTAACTACTAACTAGTAAGTCTATAAGCCACAACACCCACAACTATCAAATATTCTAGAGTCTAGACTCGAAATCTTGAAATTACTGCTACTGCTACAATAATGCAGTGATGAATCGTTTTTCTATGGCAGTGATACATTATTTTTGGATGGATGAAACTGTATTTAGTTGGACGTATGACAATCATTCAATCATCAAACTTTATTTTTATACTCCCGAATTCGGAGCTCATTTGGCAACAATAAGAGTTGAATTTAAATTAACTTAACGTAACTTAATTATTATTATTATTTAGCCAATAGATAGACGTGTTAAATTATGATTATGCCGTGTCTAATTAAATATCCTCGTCAATTATTGCTACAAATCAGTGACCGTAAAAAAAGRAAACTAGCTATTGAYGATTCAGATGAAATAGCGTTAGACCGTAATTTAGATTTGTTCATTGACTCTGAATTAGAAGTGATTGAAGATTCACAAGCATCGTTGAAGGGACATAGAGACTTATTTGGTAAACTTATACCACAAGATGAAGTTGTCAGTAATGCAGACAATAAAGATAATAAAAACAAATCAAATATAAAAACACCAATATCAAAGAAAAAGAAACGATTGAATGAAGAAAATATAATTGACAGTCCAGTAATAAGACCAAAAAAGGGTGTTTATCCCACCCCAAAAGTTTATGAAATTAATGAAAGAAGCACAAACAGAATTGTACTCCTCAATGGGTGTCAACAAGAGTTCAAGTGACATGTMAATTGTAACAAATGATAGGTCTTAATGTCAGTGGAATTCAAAATTTAGAAGACAGTCCTATAACAAGTATAATAAATGAGTCTAAAACTAATTCAAAGAACTCAGTGATTTACACACATAAGTCAACTAATACCGATAATGATAAGGAATCTCGACAAATTTTTGAAGGTAAATTTTCATTGATACCTATACACCTATTGCACCTATACACCTAAGATAATATTATTGCTTTAAAATAAATCCTTGTCCAATAAG